GAGGGGGATTGGCCCAGCAAGCCATAATAAAAGCTTTTAAAAGTTTTCTGAAGACATGGAGCCATTGGAGTGTTCTGAGCAGTATGAGTCCTGCTCTGGTAACTGGTGTCATGATCATGAACCTCCAGTGAAGCCTTAACTCTCTCTGACTATCCTACCACGCTCCTGAGTAGGCTTCCTCTCTCACTTACTAGACTACTGTGTTTCTCCTCCTCTCAAAGTTCCAGCTCCTACACCACGTTCCTCCCTTTCTAATCTGCTAGGAAAGCAGAAACAACAGGGGGAGAGCTTCTGCCAGCTTCCCCCTCTGTATGTGCTCACCTCTGCTATTTGCAGCTTCCTTCTTCACTTCCCTCCCATGTCCTTACTCAGATTGGACCATCCCTCCTTTGTGCACTGGATTCTACCCTCCCTCACTCATCCAAGGACATGTCTCTAGCCTCCTCTCCTGCCTCTCCTGCATCAGCAGTTTTCCCCTCATCATCAGACTGTGTCAGACCACACAAGTGATCTGCCATTTCTCCATGCCATCTTGACCTTGCTTCATGCTCCACCCACCCTCCTATTTCTCTCCTGCCTTTCACAGAGAAACTCTTTAACAGATTTGTCCCTTGCTGTCTCCAATTTCTCTCCTCCTATTGTCTTGTAAACCTGGTCCAATCAGGTTGTCACCCAAACCACTCCTCTGAAATCTGTTTTCGCAGGGTGGTCATTGTCTTCCCCTTTGTTAAATGCAATCTACGGTCCTCTATCAACCACATCTTCTATCACCTGGAAGCAGCATTTGACACAGGTGATAACTCTCTCCTCCAGGAAACTCTGTCTTTGCTTGGCTTTCAGAACACAGTATTTACCTGGTTTTTCCTCCTCTCTCCTGCTTCATCCTCATCATTCCCAACCTCTTCATTATGGAAGGCCCAGGTCGGTCTTTGGGCAGTTTCTCTTCTCAGTGTGTCCTCACACTATCATTAACCTCACCTATGTGCCAATTACTCCAAAATTTATAGCTTCAGCAGAGACTTTTCACCTGAATTCAAGACTTATATATCCACCTGTCTACTTGACTTTGTCTTTGGTTATTTAACCACATTTCAAACTCAACATGCCCCAGAGTAAGCTACTGATCCTCTTCTAAACCTATTCTTGCCCTTGACCTAGCTGGCTCTGTACAGATAACTGAATTCTCCAGTTGCTTAGCCCAAAATGTTTGGTCATCCTTGATTCTTCTTTTCTTTTACACCTACATAAAAAACATCAACAAGTCTCTTTCATTTTAAAAGAAAATCTCCCAGAACCCAACCTCTTAGTGGCTTTTCATTTCCCACATATTTTTTTTTTGCCTTCTTGATGATGCCTAGAATTATGTTGACCTATTTCTACATAGCTTCAATACACAAGCCAAAGGATTTAGGAAAAATTCAGTTTCTCTTACATTCCTCCTTTCTCTGGCTTATAACTGATAATTTGGTATCCATTATTTTATGAGTCAAGTTTAGATGACTCTTCTCTAGATTCATTTCTTTCCATTTGCCTATGCTGACGTGTATCTAACTCTCTTCTTACCACCCACACAGTTTTTAGCGTGGCTACTGTTGGCTTGATGCAATGCATGAGCTTAATGTCATTTTCAGAAGAGAAATTCCATTTCGTGTTCCATCATCAATATCTCATGCTAAAAAGGGAAAAAGGGAAGGATTTCAGCTCTAGAGAACTCAACCACTTATACTGTAATACTTGGAAAAATGTTTTTGTTGTTTCCTTAGCATTCATTTTATCCAAACAAGAGAGTTCTCTATACATAATAAAGTATGTCTTTTTATATTTACTAAATTTTCAAATACGTAAGTCCTTCATAGGTCTTAAACTCAGGCTTTGGTGTTCTGTATGTTTTATTTTGATTATAGTCAAGACAGCCCTACACTCTACTACATAGCTCACTGGTCCAGCAATTAGAGAGAAATCAATAGATGGGCCAACAGTCTGGAAGAGCCATGCCATTGAGTCAGCAGGGTATTTTTGGCTGACTGCATAGTAGGTCAGCTGAAGCCATTGAATAAAGTGGTCATTGTGGGGAGGCCTGGCCATTCTCCAATCCACCTTGCTATATTTGCACAAGAAACACTACAGCTGTGATGACCAGAGGCTGTTAATTTCCTCTAGGAATCTAAGAGTCAAAATATCTTACTAATGCTAATGTTTGGTTGTTTGTTTGTTTTTCACATTGTTTTATTAGATTCTCTTGTAAGCACAATACTGTCTGGGAATAATAATGTATTTGTCTTCTTCCTTCTAGTATTTACAATTTTATTTGTGTTTATTGTCAAATCGAAGTAGGATGAGTATGTTTCCCTTGACTTAAATGGTAGCATCTTGAATATTTAATGATAATTTTTACATTGGATATGGGTTTGAGGTATATATTCTTTTTTGTATTATAGATTGACAATTTTGAAAAGATTGGTGTTAAATTTAACTGAATACCTTTTCAGTATCAATTAAGACAATCACATGACTTTTCCTCTCTTGAATAAGGAATATGATTAATTAATCAAGTTCTCAATATTAATTTCCCTTGCCATTTTGTATAAATCCAATTTGGCCTTTGGGAGTATTATTCTTTTAATACATTTCTGGATTTAGATTTTTAACAGGGAATTTAATGTCTGTGTTCATAAGTAAAATTACTTTGGAGGCCTTTGTGTGTGTGTGTTTGTGCGTGGTAGTTTTTTCAGGCATTTTTTCTCATAAGTATTATGAATGAGTCATGACTTTTTCCTCAAATTTTGTTTTTTACACAACTAATAAAGTGTTAGAGGCCAGGTACAGGGGCTCACGTCTGTAATCCTAGCACTCTGGGAGGCTGAGGTAGAAGGATTCCTTGACCTCAGGAGTTCAAGACCAGCCTGAGCAAGAGGAAGACTCCATTTCTATTGAAAATAGAAAAATTAGCTGAGCATTGTGTCAGGTGCCTACAGTGCCCGCTACTTGGAAGACCGAGGTAGTCTTCCTATGAGTATCACTTGGGCCCAGGAGTTTGAGGTTGCTGTGAGCGAGACTGACACCATAGCACTCTAGCTTGGGGCAACAGAGTGATACTCTATCTCTAAATCAGTGGCTCTCCACCTTCCTAATGCCACGATGTATTTTCATTATTACAAAGAGGTCATGACCCACAGGTTGAGAACCGTTGCTCTAAGTAAATAAATAAATACAATTATTTATCCCTAAAACATTAAAAAAACTTGCCTATGGCTCTATCTAATAAACAGAGTACTATTTGAGACAATAAGGGGAGATTATACCTGGGTCATTAAAAAGTTTTGAGAGGCACAAAATCAACAAAATCAAATCTACTTGGGTAGAACAAATGAAGCCCTCCAGCAATCCTAATAATCCAAGCAAGATAAAACTTGCACAGGTGAATCAGAAAGGATACTGTTGACTGTGTTTCTTGGAACCAAAATAATTGACGATAACATAGTCTGTTTCAAAACTTTAGTAGTGACCCACTTATAAGAAGATTTAAATCTTATAGAAGATTTAGATTTATTTATGCTATTGGTCTCTTGTCTCTTAGACTTTCTGCTTCTTCTTACATGACATCTGTTCTTATAAACTGTGATTTTCAACTTCATTCATTATCAATGAATTGAAAATTACAACAATAGCCAAATCTACAAAATCAGAAAATAGATAAGATGATTATTATGGATGAGTGTTTTGGGGGATGCAAGTTGTATGAAATGAAGAGCTACATGCAGTGCCGTGATGGTATTAACTTTCACAATTGTTTTGAAAGCTTTTTTGTAATTTTGTCAACAACTCTAAAACAATATGTTTTCTGACCAAATATATATTGGAATATATATACCAAGAAAAATAGCAACAGTAAACAAAGCATCATCATATTAAGGACTGAACATGAATCAAATACCTAATTTAGGAATGATGAGATAAATTATGGATTTTCCATTTAATACAGTGTCATGCTGACTTTTAATGCTTACAGAGAGTTTTCAAGGATTTGGGGAGGTTTAGAAGAGTGGGTAGAACTGAGGAAGATCGGAATCCAACTACACAGGGTGATTTTCGGTGTTGAATCCTGAGCAAACTAGAGTGTTTGTTCACTCACCCAGGAGGGAGTGAGCAAGAGTGTGGGAGCAGCAGTTACCTCCCGGGCAAGGAAACATGGTTCAGGAACTTGAAGACTATTTAGATGTACAGACTGAGGTGATTGGGTCAGCATTTCCTTGGCCAGTTTGAACTGACAGTGTATCAGTATCGATGTCTGTATGTCAGTGTACACATTAACGTGGCTCTAAACAAATACATGTATATGTATTCCATGGTGGAGCAGAGGGGTGCAATGATATGAGCTTAAACTGTAGAGCAGATGATTTCGTGTATGGCTCAGCTTAGCCCTCCCTGTTCAGTGTTATCTTGGGCAAATTACTTCACCTCTCTGTTCCTCCATTTTCTTATCTAAAGGATAAAGAATTCTAAGAGTTGCTGTGAGGTTTAAGAGTAGTGCCAGGCACATAATAAACACTTAATAAATGTCAGCAATTATTTATATTTATTAGTTCTTTTATGGGGCCAGCTAATCTCTGCACCCCTGCTTCTCCCTGTGCACCTCTCAGCCTCTCTCTGCTCTCGCTCTTGGCAGTGAACTCTCTGCGCAGATCAAATTCCCGTTGAGTTAATCATCACCATCTCTACCGGGCAGAGCTCTGGCATCTGATCACCTCACGGGGCAACTGTTCAATTCATAGATTGGGAATACTTTTTGCCCAATCAGAACTGTTAGTAACAATTGCTAAGAAGTAGAAAGAGAGCCAGTAAGCGGGGCAGGGTCAGGTGGTACCTGTTGGGCAACCTTAGGTTTTTTACGATGAACTTCATGGCATAACCTTTGTAATTAAGGAAAAGGTTATTTTTAAAAATAGTGTGGTAGACTGTGACCCTGCCTATTATGAAAGCCCCTGGGCCCAGAAACTGCACAAGTAATGTCCCCTATTCCTGGACAAGGCCAATGTCCTCGTGCAGAAGTGGGAGCCCACTGACAGAGGACAGTCTCCTGTGGACTCAACTGCCAGGTGCGGAGCTCCCATGCGGCCTGTTCTCTCTCCAGGCGACAGTGAGTAGCTCCTACTAACTCTTCCCCTGTGGCCCTCAACATCTGGCATTGTAACCATTTACATGTTTTCCACCCTCAAGAGGCAATTAGCTTCTCCACTACAGGCGCCGTATTGAATTCATCTTTGTATCTGGGGTGTGCAGGACAGTGCCTGGCACAAGGATGGCGCGAGACACCTACAGCACTGTAAATAGCCACAAGGAGGTGCCCGGAGGCCTTTCTCAATGTGGACTTTTTGAAACCTCCAATTTACTCATTCATTCATTGTCCTCCATTCTGATGCTGTTGCTTCGTGCTCACACCTGGGCACACAAGCAGTTCTTGAGTTTTCTCTGTATTGTTGATATGCCTGGGAATCTAACTCAAAAGGGGGAAAAGTTCAAAACCTGAATAATTATCCTTCTACCCAAGTACCCCTGAGCGCTCATCTCTGTTACTGCTTATAGATTTGATAGAAAATCTACAAAGTTTAGACCTTAGAATAAAAGCAGCAAAATAAGTGTTCTTATCTTTTTTGCTAACTGAAACTTAGAGAAATTACCCAGGACAACTCAAGAGGCTGCTGGAGAAGGAGCTGCAAGGGGTGGAGGTGGGGAGGGCAGGGCCACAGCTTCTCCTTGCGAACTTCAGCTTGGCACTAATCCCAGCAAGAGCATAACTGATACAAAACTCGGGTTGGCCAAGACTAGGATTTAGCTCCACCATTAATAATTAGAGCAGAATTTCCCTAATAAATTGGAGTAATTGATCCTTTCTCTCCATTGAAATTGCTGTGACAAGAGCAAAAAGCTATTAGCAAAAAGGGTAGAAAAATGTGACCCTAACCTTGTCAAGGTTTTGACTCAAATATTTACACTGTATGTATATAGTATGTGTATATATATATATATATATATTTTTTTTTTTTACTTCCATTACTCTAAAAGAGATTTTGTAGTTTTTCTGACATATGCCAACGCAGGTTTTTACATTTTACAAGTATGCAAATAGCAAATGGAATAAGAAATTCATGCAGATGCTTTCCCAGATTTTCAAATGCGGAACATCGTGTTATGCTGGTTCCAGAAGTTATAATTGCACTTAAAAGCCCTGCCTTGGTGTGGCATTTGAGGACTTTAGGGACTGCACACTAATTCATGTCTGATTTTGTAATCAGCCTTATTCATGAGAACTGACTTATAGAAAACACATTTCTTCTTCTGAAGGAGAAGCAGTGATTAATGGTGACTTCCAGAGTGCCTTCTGGGGCCTGCAGAAGCCTAGGAAATGATGACACTGTAGCAATAAGCTAGAATGTCTGCCCCAATCCCAAATCCCCCCTCTTGCTTCCTGGGAACTTTTTCCTGCTGCTAATGTGCAGAAGACAATGTCTCCTTTGGGTCAGTACCTATTGTCCCTGTGTCCTTCTCTCCTCGGCTCTCTGGAATCTCTTAGTAATCTATCCCAAGTGGTAAACTTTCAGGAATGTCCCTTTTAGGAGTCTTACAAAATGTGTAAGCTTGTATCATCCTTTCTTCTTAGGAATAAAGGAAAACTTTTGTAGAACTGGAAACATTTCCTTTTAAACAAAAGCAATCAAGTACTCCCCAGGGCTGGGCCAGAGAGAGTCATTCCTCATCCTCCTGAGACCAAAATCGTCAAAGACATGAGTGTCTTCCCTTCAAAGAGTTCTGAGAACCTTGCTCTGGAAAAAATACTGCCTCCAGAATGTGTGCACACAGCCAGGCAGACAGTAGTTCCAGCCCCCATGTCATTCTGGTTAACCCAGGACATCTGGCTACCCCACGTGGGAGCCGCAGATTCTGTGCACCCTTCCGTGTAAGCAGGAGGGCACGTCCTAGACGGGGAAGGTCTAGCTGCCATGGAAATAAACCCAGTTAGAAAAGACGAGAGTGATAGAGCTCGCTCAGGGGCTGCTACTGCTTTGGGAAATAATTACAGGCAACTGGATTATCTTCAGTCTCTGTAAAATAATTTTCCAAACAGGCATTTATTCAACCTAAACTTTCATATGTTTCTTGTTTGCTTCATTATTATTATCATTATTATTATTGTTGATATTATTAATCTAGCGATTCTGGACAACCTATTGTGCCTATTTTATGATTCCTATAGGGATAGTTTTCAAAGGTAAGATGTGTTCTCTTGAAGCCCTAGGGAAAGTAGCAGGCTCTAGGAATCACCACTGGGTTTTGTCCGTGGGGGATAATGTGGGCTCAAACTCACCACCTAGAGCGGTAGTTTTAAAAAACTGCCCATCTAGGAGATAGAAGATCTGGATTCCCCTTCCTCTCTCTCCTTCATTAACTAGCTCTGCTACTTTAATTAAGTTGCTTAACTTCTCTTCAAGCAGATATTTTAGAACCTCCAAGAGATCTTGCTGGGGGAGAGGGAGGAGGAGAACAACCTAGTTCAGCTTCGATGACTTCATTTCACAGGTGGGAAAAACTAGCATCTGCCTTGTCTTACTCCCAGGCTGGCTGTGCAAGTCAACTGCCGTTTCAGCCTGCTTAAAAAGTTCAAGGTTGTACAAAGTGTTATCCAAATGAACAGAGATAAGGATTTTATTATTCACAATTTAAATTAGAAAATCCTTCACAGTTACATCCAAACATATGTCACTAAATAATATTATTTTTCTTATCATTAATAATTCTCATGTTTAACTCTACATGGATAGCTTTATTGCCCCTAAATTTCAAAAAGTTTGGCAAGTGATGGTTTCCTTTTCTCTTTACTCAGTAAAACAGGTACCTGTTCCCTCAGACACTCACAGAATTCCTACCCTGTGCTATGAATGGACACAGAGGTTACTTCCAATGCTTTCAAACTACTTGGTTCAGAGACTGCCTATTATGTAGGTCAGTGAAAAACAATCACATCTATCTGGGTTTTACACTTTCTGTACTTTAGCTTTGCCATGTACAGAGGTCTTCCACATTTCCCGAAGCAAAACCTTCCCCTCTTAACGCAACTTTTTGCTTTGGGTCACAACTTAGCCTGGATTCTGTCAAAAGCTGAGGCAAAGACTTGTATGAGAACACAGGTGTCCCAAAGGTCACCCCCAAAGCAGCCACACGTAGGGAAAATGGGAAACTGTAGCTAAATGTACCTTCATTGCCAAAATATTCATTTAAAAAAATGATAAAGAAGTGGTCAACATGTAGAACAGTTTGTAAATATTTTGTAAAATTTTATAATGAATATTTTGTCAATAAAAGTACATTTAGCTACAATTTTCCATTTTCCTTATGCATGATGACCTCAGAGGCAACCTTTGGGACACCCTGGAGTTGCCTTGAGAATCTGACCCCAGGTTGTAGACATGGGACTTGGGAGTGTGATAAGGAGGAAGGGCCAGTTCAGGGACACAGGATCATCTTGACCACCTTGAGAGGCTGATGCTCTGTCTCAGAGGACCTCCTAAGTAGCTTTATCAGTGTGTGTCCAAGGACAAAAGGGGAAAATGAATAACCTCTGGATCCCCAGGCTTCACAGAGCTGTGCAGACTTGGGTGCACGGTGAGATCCTGCAGGTTCCCCTTACCTGAGTGGCAGCAAAGCTCTGGGGCGGCAGCCAGAGGGTCTTGGCTCAGATAGGGTGAAGCACCATCCCATGCCCACCCGACAAAGCTGTTTCAAGCCCACACAAAACAGGTCACAGCTACAGTGACTGGACTGGAAAGTGGTGCTGAGAGAATTTAAGGGGGTGAGCACCTATGGTATCTGATGCAAGTTAAAATCCAGCAAACCTACCCACAATAATTTTTCACTGAGACCTGGTCTCTGGAAGTCTCTGATTTATGTGTTGACCAAGCCTTGCTTAATAACTCAAACAACACAATGTTTAACCCCGGGGCAGCTCTTTGTACAACCTGAGAGACAGGAAAAATATGTATTTATCCAGGCTTAGCCAAGGGAGTATTTAGTCACATTTACAGGGATGAGCTTTAGTGAGCTTCTGCATAAAGTAGGCAAATTTCTCATAAGTATATCTCTGTGTTTCTTCGCATACGGGAAGAGAGTAGTCACAGAGAGATCTGGTATCCCACCACGACATCAAGTCATCTTGGCACAATTTGTTAAATCACATTTGGAGCATCTTTAGGCTTTAGGGCTGGCCACAGACAGGTGAGCAGTTGAGGTGAGTGATTTACTTGAGGAAGATCCTGGTAGAAATTCTCAATGTGGAAACATTGGACCAGCAACCTGCATAGCACCTGAGAACTTGTTAAAAATGCAGATTCTCAGTTCCCACGGCAGACCTACGGGGTCAAAGCTCTGGGGTGGAGTGGCACGGTCTGCATTTTAATACATCTTTCGAGTAACTCTGATGCATACTGGTGTTTGAGAACCATGGTCTTATATCTCTTCTAGAGCACCAGACTGCTTCAGCAGGAGAAAAAATGAGTAGTAGATCAGTTGATTGTCGTGAGACAGGGAACTGGTAGGTACTGGCTCCCTCCTGAGTTCTTTCTTGTGTGAAGCCAAGGACTACTTGGACCTTGAGTGGCTCCTAACATCGGGGAGTCACTTTCCTGTGTCAGTAGATACGTCAGATTGGGGTATATAATTTAATATGCGCTTAGTTGGACCCAGTTACCATTGTGGGTCCCAGAGATACAAAGGTGAAAAAAAAATCACACAGCCCCTGATCCCGGAGATCTTTCGGGTAGAAAAGACCAATAGGTAGACCAACAATAGTAACATGCTAGGCCAGGCACAGTGGCTCATGCTTGTAACTCTAGTGGTCTGGGAGGCCGTGGTAAGTGGATTGCCTGAGCTCACAGGTTTGAGACCAGCCTGAGCCAGAGCAAGACTTCATCTCTAAAAATAGCCAGGGATTGTGGCCGGGCTTCAGCTATGACTCCACAGCACTCTACCAAGGGCAACAAATTGAGATGCTGCCACCAAAAAAAAAAAAAAATAATAATAATAATAGTAATAACATGCTAACAAGAGGTGCCTAAGTGGGAAAAAAACCCACACAAAAGAAGTGAT